AAAGGAACAGGAGTATTCATATTTATGTAATTATGTCTAACACTCGTGCAATTGGGTGTCCTAGACTGAAACCTACTAATACATTCACCATACTCCTTCTCAGCTTACTCGGATATGTTTCTCATAGAAGAGCCTTCTGTCAACAGGCACACGCAATTAGCTTTGAGTCAAACTCGAGCCCAATTCTGCAACATCTGTACAGTTGCCACCAAACTCTGACTTCATGGATTCTACCTAAAAATATACCATCAATGCTTTCTCCATATTAAGCTACATAGCATTACTGTCATGCAACTGATACCACTTCTATGCACTTGAACAACTTTAAATTGTCGGGCTTCATACTTACTGGATATTTGGGGTAATTCCCTCCAGCAAGACAATATTGACACCTCCTATGTGAGCAGTGGCACACGTCTCAGTCATCTTTTGATGTAGTACATCTTTAAGAAAAAAGATACTTAACAGCATTTCATTCAGTAAAATATTTCCAGATATGCCTACTCCTTCAAAAATATAGTAGCAAGAAAATAATTGAAAAATTACAGTGGTAGTAGTCACATTAAGTAACCTCAACTTTAAATTGTGACAAGAGGAAAGCTTTTGAAAATGAAAGGAGTGACTATGTTCTAAAAATAATTTTCTCCAGTGTTTTCCGCAAATCTTCCATCCTTCTAAAATCCTTCAGCACCCTAGTAATAGTTTTTAAAAGACCTTGTTGAATGTTGTTATACCATCTACACACAGACATAATGTACATCTGTTTACAAACCAAACATAGTAAATACACACATACATTGGTATAGGTATGCACATAGATAAACATGGAAGGATGCCATTAAATTTAATTAGAGTACGTTTTAGCTTATCCCACCTTTCATTTTTTCTTTCAGGGTGAAACTGCCATGAATTCTCTTCAGTTCAGATTCCATTGTCAGACCACCAATGTCTGCCTCCAGGTGGGTTCGGTTCACCATGCCTATTCCAAAGACTACGAGAGTCACGTGCTGTGGCTCCGAAGTCACCAGGCTGCGCTTCCTCTGGGTGTCTCTGCCATTATCCTGCTCATTCTCAAACACCACTCTACAAGCAGGTTCAGTTGGGCTTCGAACACCTACAGAAACACAAATGAGTTATTTAATGATACTTCACAAGAAATCCTATCCTTGGCATATCTGATTTATATTTGTATTTGAAACCAAGGATCACATATCCTGCACATCAAGCGAACTCTAGGCACATTATCTGGGCCTCGCTTCTGCCACTCTAATAACATTGCAACTGAACCAAATCCAAGACACAATGGGAACAATAACAAATGATGTGACTTCATTATTATTCACAGATATATTCTTCTGTACTTCACATAAATATTAATATTTATGTAATTTTACTGTTACACAATAAAAATCCTCCAACAGTTTCCCATTGTCCTGCTTCTTTTCTGATCATTTCACAGCCAAAGGTTCTTGTAAGTTAGTTTTGGATGAGCAACTTGTCCTTTTCAACACTCAGACCATAGACACAATATACGAAAATTTACATTTTCTGCAGATATCATAGCTGTGGATATGACATTCTTTACATGAAAGATACTGCCCTCTGTTTAACAAAGCTCTCATTTGACACTCTTAAAAAAGTTTTTCATTCTTTATTTTTAAAAATCCCCCAAAATATGCCTAACTAGTAACTGTATCATCCCCTGCACAATTACAACAACCTAAATCTACCAACAAAAAGAATGATGTTAAGTCAGCTCTCAAATTTACTCTGCTGTGCTAAAATATATCAGAAACAGAGAGCAAAGATCACCTCAGATCTCAAAGCTTTGGATGAAATTACAGTCCAATATGCAGCATTTCCCTTAGCCTCTTAAAAACAAAATAGGACCTAGGGAGTAACAAACTCTGTACACAATTAACCAGACAAGTTAACTTTTTAACAGTCTGCATGGCTAGTCCAACCCGGGTTAACTGGGCTGCACAAGAATATAAAGAGACCGAATTTAAAACCAATCAGTTAACATGCATTTGACTAAGTCCAGGACTGAAAGAACCAAAGCATACTATAAAATTGGGAAAATAATTTTTTTCTTTGCACACTGTCTTGGTGAACTAACTACAAGCTCCCCCTACCCTCACCACTTGTCCCTCGGATGCATGTTAGATGGGGTGGGCAACTTTTTAAAAGCCGCCAATCTTTAACCAATCAAGCTTTAGAAGAATACACTTCAGCAAAAGTGTGCATTCTCAATTATCTGGATTCATAAACCAGTTTACCTGTTGGCCCGAAAGTTTCAGAAGACTTTTCTAAAATCCCGGTTGGGTCAGAAATGAGTGAATAGAAGTTCAACAGTTTATACATGTTTTGCCAGCACTCAGCAGAAGGTTCGCTCTGTTCTGACACAGTAATAGAGTCCGAGTCATCCATATGAATAGTCATGTGGTCAACTACGTCCTTTGAACCTTTCCTGGACACTTTAGAAGTTCTTCTTTCTGACCTCCCCAAGGAATTCTTGTTTCGAGATTCTTTTTTATTGTTCTCATTGTTTGTTCGCTTGTTCTTGGTGTTGTTCACCCTGTTACCTCCGTTAAGACTTCCTCGAGAGCTTCGGCTGAAATCAGAAGAGCGGAAGTCTCTGTGTTTGCGGGTTTTAAAAGTAGGTGTTGGAGAGGCCGATCCAGCTGTATATCTGCTAAGTTTGATGTCCGTCTGCGTGGCTTTGATATCATCAATCATTGTGCTGAACTGGTGAATAAGACGAACCAGTGCCATGTCTACATGCTGGCTTATGGACTGGCAAGAAATTGTAAAATTACAGTGGAAAGTATTATAATAGCGTTTATTCAAGTCATGAAAAGAAAGGGCATTGGCAGAGTTATGAGGTGTGCACATGGATTTCTCCATTACAACAGCACTAATACTGAAAGTTTCTAACATCAAAGCTGGTTTGAATTCAAGAGGAGGAAGATTGACAGCTCCTTGCCTAAGGAAAGAAAAGGCACAAGTTACTAGTTTGTTTCTTTTTATGGCTAACATGGAGTCAAATAACTTTTTACACAGTGGTACATGTAATTTACTGAATCCAACCTTTTATTTCCCTTAGCTCTAAAATGAGCTTTCATACTCTCATACTGCATGCTAGTAATATAGCACTCATTCAGTTCTAGGTAAACTTTGGCACACAATCTTTCCATCATAAACTAAAGCTTTACTGGAGGGCAGAATTCAGCATCTAAACTGGTAATAACAATCTCATTTACAAGATCAATTACAAAACAGCATTTAAGAGCCCCTCAAATTTCCCCTGCTATTGTTCCCACCCAGTAGCTCACCCTTCCCCAATCTCCTATTTTCAAAAGTAGCTGAGGCTCAAACACGCTATTGCTCCCACCCAATAGCTCACCCTTCCCCAATCTATTTTCAAAAGTAGCTGAGGCTCAAACACTTAAAGTTTCCAAACCATTCCAGAGGAAGATAAAAAAAAATTCCAACAGGAAGAGAAAACAGGTAAGATTAAAAGAATAAAGGACTCTCTACTCTTTTAATAAGAATTTTAATACAAAATCCTGATTCTGTGAAAGTTCTTTGGAATTCTGTATCTTCACATGAAGAACTTAATTTCTGTTCTTTAACCAATACACATATTTCAAACATCTCACAACATACCTCCGAGCTCGCTTGCTTTTTCTTTCCTTTGCTGTATCTGAATCAACAATATCTGCTCTTAGGCAGTCCAAAGTTCCTGAGAATGAAAGGTACTCTCCAAAATACATCCTGTAGCAGAGTGGCATTGCATCTTGTGACTGAATTCCCGTGTAACTCAGAAGAGGCTTGAAAACAACCTACAAAACAAAAGCCACTCATTCAATATTTATAGTGTCATCTACACAATATAGAACATTTTCAAGTTTTATTGATAGTGCTGTAAAACAGAAAAGTGGGATTAAAAAGAAGAAGCTTTAAGGACTTTTTGAGTAAAAAGATTGACTAGACAGCAAGCTAGCATTGAATAATTAGCTGTGGGAGCAAGGTTTCTGCATCTCCCCCTTCCCCCGTAAAAAGTACTCCGGAGATTAAGGTTACTCTAATATACACTCCAATATACTCTTTTAAGTTATAAAATAATCCTCTACTAATCACCATTCATAAAGCTTGTCATGGGACACCTCAGAGGTTTCTAGAGCTTCTTTTCTTTCTATATGAATGCATAAGAAACATGTATAAGAACAGTATAATGTTTTAATCAGGGTAAGATTGATTTATTAATTTTTTTTTTCAAGTAGTAACTAGTTTTTCCCTACTGAACTCTAAAATACATCAGCAAACCACACCTACCTGTGCATCTGCTAGCTGGACAGCAGGAAAACCCTGGTTACCCTCCTCTACACCTGCAATGTCATCCTGACTGGTGCTGTGCTGGGAGTGTGTGCCATCCAGGGTGTTCTGGTCACTAGACAAAACTGTGTTGAAGTCTGAAGCAGAGGGTATGGTAGGGAGATTGGGTGCCACACCTGAAAAATAAATACCCATGGAACACTAACACCACAGCAAATTTTAACACCACCAACTCCATTAACTCAGCAAAGTTAATTCTATAGAAATACACGCCATACACATAGAAATTCAGAGTCTTAGGCAGGTCTATAACCTCACAAAAGGGGCATTCAAGACAAAGAAACAGTCTGATGTTTCTGAAACAGGTGATAAGTTGAGATAGTAAAATTCATATTTGGAAAGCACAAAAATATCTCCTCCTTTTTGCCATTCTTCTGAAGGCCTTTTGTCTGTATTGCATTCTAGAGGATACTTAACACCTGCTTAAACTGATATAGTTTACAGGCTGAGCCGCCTATACCATCAACAAAAAGCCAAGTTTATCCACAGATGTAGACACTTGCTTTCAGCTTTCAATGTGCTAGAAGCTTCTGGATTTTATTAGTCCCAACGCACGACCCACTAATCAGATCTCTACAGATCAGTCTCTAGTCTTCCCAGAAACGACTATGAGCAGCCACTTCCCTGCAGCTGCTCTGTTCAGGAACAACCAGACTTGTAGCACACAGGCAGAGTGAGGCTTACCCGCCTGCATCTTGAGTCTGCACTGGGCTCAACCTCCATGAGACAGAGTTGCTCTGCCAATGTAAATTAAGCCTGACTCTTCAGAACACGACTACACACCTCCACAGAAAAATGATTTCGATTAATCTGTGTCGGAGTTAAAAATCACAAAGTAATTTCAAGAACATGAGCTTGCGAACAAGCTATTGTAATTTCGGTAGGAAAAAATACAGCTTTTTCTGAAAACAGAATTTAAAGCTTTATTTCTACCCTATGATTCTCTTTGCAGACAAACACATTCCAGTTTATGGAGGACCTATGCCAATTAAGTAATATGTACAGCACAAAGATGCTTTGTAAGATCAGACTACTTGTTCAATATTAAAAACAACTTATTATTGCCTAAGATTAATGCATTACGGTTGAAAGATTGTTAAGAGAGAATTGTTACGTATCTGTTTATTTAATACACTTAAATTGTTCAATAATGTATCTTTTCCTTTCTCCATTCCCTTACACCAGCTGTCCACTTCCCAGACCTGAAGACTGCTCTCAAAACAGATGTTTATGTTTAGCCTCAAAACTGAACTGAGAAAGAGCAAGGATTCCAATGTACAAAATCTTCATCACAAAAACACCATATGCAAATTAAAGATTAAAAATAACCAACAAAATCCAAGGAATTCTGCAACTGAGGATGATTTTATGGCTTCGCTTTTGGCAGCTACACATGGTTTTGGCAGCTACACTTACAGATTCAAATGTAAGAAAAATATGAGCTTTTGGAGACAAGGTGAAGGAAATGAAAACAGTAGTTTCTCTGTAATGACATTTGTTCATTTTCCAGTTTGCTCACAAGCCCCACAAGTAGCGTCTACCTCTGCTGAACTTAAGTCACTTGTTCAATTACTTTTATCAAGAACACAGTAAACACAGGAGCAGCCAACCCAGAATCGTCTCTTAAGTTCAGCTGTAATTAGCAATACCTGTTGGAAGACTGTTGTGTCCAGATTTGGTGGCCGGACTTTCTTGTACCACACTTCCCCTGTTGCCCACAGCATTTGACATCCAGTTATAGAAACTCACAGAAGATGGTTCAGACAGCAAAGGATGTTCAGATAACATGTCTGTGGCCATAGTATTTCCTAAACAGATAAATCAGAAGCTTTCATATTTGTGGTATCAAAGTCAGCAAATAACAGGAACATGGCATGATTTTACTGACAATACACATTTACTATTAAAATAAACCTAATCCTCAAGGTTTATTCCAGTGAACTATGTGTCAAGCAGCACTACAGGTGCTACCACAGAAGTTACACTATGACACTAATGGATGTTGTAGTACAAGTGTCTTTATACGTGTTCATTTCTACCACTAATTAGAGGAAAGGAGTCATTAAGAAACCAAAATACCTCTTTTGCTGAATAACATTTCATTCCCTGACAGCAAAGGAGAAAGGTTTTAGAGAAAATGCAGTATCAAACTTATCTATTTTTCTTTATATAAATTATTACCATGCACTCCGAACAATAGCACAGAACATAAAAACTTCAATGCATCTATTTCTAACTTCTACAAAACACACTTATTCAAAAGATCATTATAAAAAAATCTGCAAATTATTATACACAAACTAAGTCATTAGAATGTTCGTTTTAGTCCATTTTTTGACCTGCTTACAAGGTCAAGAAAAAAATGACAAATACAGAATGATCACTTCATTTCCTTATTAATTCAAGAAGACTCACTTAGGTAATTTATATACTATACTCAAAAAGTAGTAAGGCTAAGTAAAAGGAAAAGATTTTATTTATTTTGTTGGTTGTCATTTCTTTTCCTGACATGATGTACTCGATGTTTGCTTCTAGGAAATGGTATGGTGCAGTGACATCTAGGAACTGCTATTAAAAATTATGATTCTTATTTGGGGGGAGGAAAGAGGGAGGTGAGATCTTAAACAGAAATGAGAACTCATAGTGAAAATATAGTACCTTTTCTAAATCATTAAAATAAAATCAATCTTCCCCGCCCTTCCCCTTCAGCTTACTTATGTTACATCATACCTGTTCTTGTTAAAGAACTACTTTTAACTGCAGTTGTACTTCTTTGAGGAGTCCCTTCCAAAAGATTATGCAGGCTAGGAAAACTCCCAGTAAGATAGCTGAGCAGACTCTCTTTTCTTGGACTTTCTTTGACTGCCATTCCCGAACGGCCAACGTGCACTGGTGAATCTGTAGCTGTATCTCCACTAGTATAACTTAAGGAATGATACGGATGTATACCCTTGTGGAGAAAACAAAGAAACTAATGAAGTAATGTATAAACTGTAAAAAGGAAACGAGCATTGGTCTGAATATGAGACTGGAACACAGTTACTACACAAATCTCATTCCTGCAAACTTTTGGGCCAGTAGCACTTCATTTGGGCAGGTCATATGCCATACAGGTGTCGTGCCTAAATGTGCTATTGAATTCTCAAGTATTAAAATAATTTTACATGTAAAAAAATATTAAAAGCCAAACAAGTAACAAATGGAGCTGAAGATGCGTAGAATTCATATAAAGCAAGTTTGCAAAGACCAGTACATAACACTGAATATAAGCCTCATTTGTATTTGGTCTTCATCTGAAGACCAAACCCCTTCTGTCCCTAGTATAACGGTAAGTGCAGCCTCTGGGGAAGGCAAAGAATGGAAGCTGGGGATGTCTGGCACCAAGAGTAAGGCTCCTGATCCACCTAAAGGCTTAAAACTGTGAAATAGGTTCTCTGCCCTCACAGCTGAAGAAGAGCCAGATGTGCTTCCAAGCAAAGCATCTGGGCCACTTAACCCTAAACCATGCAAGACCACCAGGAAGGAGCAGTAAGCGATAGTACCGGGTGACTATCTGCTACAGGGGACAAATGTGCCAATATATGCTGGGATCCGACCAGCTGGAAAGCAGCTTTGCAGAAAAGGACCCAGGGATCCTGGTGGACACCAAGTTGAACGTAAGGCTGCAATGGGCCCTTGCCAGGCTGTCCAGCCTGGGCTGCATCAGGCAGTAAGGTACCAGCAAGTCAAGGGAGGTGATCCTACCCCCTGCTCAGCACTGGTGAGGCCACACCTGGAGTGCTGTGTCCAGCAGTGGGCTCCCCAGTCAAAGAGAGAAATACTGGAGAGAGATCAATGAAGAGCCACTAAGATGATCAAGGGACCAGAGCACCTCTCATATGAGGAAAGGCTCAAAGAGCTGGGGTTTTTCAGCCTAGAGAAGGATCAGGGGGATCTTATTAATGTATACAAATACCTGAAGGGAGGATGCAAAAAAAAAACCAGAGCCAGGCCCTTTTCAGTGGTGCCCAGTGACAGGGCAAGAGGCAACGGCACAAACTGAATCACAGGAGTTTCCTCCTGAACATCAGGAAACACTTTTTTACTGTGAGGTTTACTGAGAACTGCCACAGGTTGCCTGGGGAGGTTATGGAGTCTCCATTCTTGGAGACATTCAAAACCCTGCGCAACTGGCTGAAGGATTTGAGACTGAATCCCTTGAAAAATCAAGTGCATTTTCTTACAGATGTTGGTTCAGTAAGCTGCAGGTTAATGTCACTCTTTTGATATTTATACTTCAGTAAGCTGCAGTTTAATGTCACTCTTGGTATTTATACTGAAATCTCAATATCAGGAACATACCAGCAGGAGGCCAAATTTTATTTCTTCATGTACGCATATAATTATCTATGATGCAACATCAGGAACATCCCAGCAGGAGGGCGAATTTTATTTCTTCCTTCATGTACGCATATAATTATCTATGATGCCTCTAGTACTTACATGGGTCTAGGAAGTGAAGAATAAATGCATAGACTGTGAAAGAAAAATTGCCAAAATTGTAATATTTAAATTCTGTATTTTACAGCAACTAAGGTGGCTCTGCTTGAGCTGGGGTTTGGACAAGAGGACCTCCAGAGGTCCCTTTCAACCTCAACCATTCTGTGATTCTGTGAAAAAACACAGTTGAAAATGAATCGGTACAAGCCATCAAGCTGACTAACACACATCTAGAGGACAACAAATAACCCGAAGAAAAGGAAACAAAACCGCCCAAAACCCATAAACATTCGCAGATTCTTTCTGTTCAGAAAGTAGAGATGGAAAAAAAAACTTGTAGTTTTCTGAACAGCTTGTAGAATTAAAAAAACTCACTAAATTTACTACAAGTTATTGGAGAGCTTTGTCAAGCTTAGATTTTATGTAATGACAGTTAAATCTACATTTCTGCTGCCATAAAAAGATTATAAGCCAGAAAATTAATGCACATCCTTAAACAATGCACACATTTATTGTTTTTAAGCTTGGCTGTGAAGTTAATTGGCAAGAAAACCAATAAAGAACAGACTCAGAATATACACCAACTGATGAAGCGTCAGGATAAGGAGCACACTTTCCATGTGTTATTGTCACTTTTTACACAAGTACTGATTCACCTGCAGCCTACAGAATTTATTCTGAAGAGGCCAGCTACAAACAATTTTCCCCTCATGCATGGTGCTAGAAACTTACCTTTATTTTCAGAACAGAATCACTGTGAGTGTGTGTCTTGGATAATTTCCTCATGATCTCGGCGCCAGTTACAGGCCCAGAAGAGCCACCAGCAGGTGGAGGACGATGAGCTGTTCCTTCTAAGAGCATTGTATGCTCACTGACAGTAGCTGGAACCAAGCAAACAAATTATCTCATTTGCATATATATGGGGAGCCAAGATTATCTATTATTAGGCACACTTATTTACAAGCAGTCATGAGTTTCTGAATTCTGACACACACCTACACACAGCTGTCTCAAGAATTCAAGGGGATTTCAAGACAAATAAGAAAGCCTCAGACATGGGCCTACTGGAATTTATCTAATACAAGTAAGCTAAACAAATCTTTTTTTCCTTCTGATATCATACAACTGTTGCTCTGTGCTATAGATCCATAAGGAAGTTGCCAAATTTCCCTTTCTTTGGCTGACTCTGGCATGGTTGATAATTTTTTGAAGATGCTTAAATTTGCATGAATTCCATCTATAAGTAAATCTATACAAGGCAACAAAATGGCCACTTCCAAAATTCTTGGTGAAAAAACAGAATACACATAGGGGAAAAAAATTAAAATGCTTCACTGATTCTAACTCTGTTTCTGCTCAATCAAAGCAGGTATTTTAGAAGAGGGGAAAAAAATTCCTATCAAACTGCATGATTACACAAACATCTTTGGTTTTTGCTGTCTTTAGGCTGATAACGGTTGCCTGGCTTCTAACCAAAAGCAGATTCTTCTGACTTTCTAAAATTATTTTTTTCTCAATATTACATAATTCTTACTTGAGAAAAGAAAAACATTGTACATAAATGCTACAAACACAAACTCAAGACAGCAAAAGAGTGTTCCAACAACATGTATTTATTTAGGCCCTTCCTTTCTGTGGTTCTTACTTAAGTCATCTCTATGTCAAACAGAAAGCTAAATCAGCTGCTTATGTTAAATTGTCAATGTGTAAGCTGGCAACAGAAATCCAACATGCCTGAAGTAGTAAAAATGAGGAAAAAAAATGACAAAAACGTCTTCGCAAAGAACAAATAAGAAGATCGGCTTGAAGCTATTCTTGGCAGAGTTCATAGAATTGCAGGTTACAATTCTTAACTAAGGTCAGAACCCACACAACTAAATCCTAATTGCAAGCTAGCAAATAATTAAGTTAATGTAATGTATTTTGTCCAGCAACTAACAAGACAAAGCATGCAAAGAAAGAGAATTCTCCTGTTTTGTTTTTCCCCAAACACGTAATCATTACTACAATACTAGAATTGCCAGCAGCAGCTTCAAAATGAAGATGATGCTAAAAAAGAAGCTAGATGATTCTAAAAAAAAAAAAATACAATGTATTCAAGCATTAAAACTAAAAAAGATACAAATGCTCTGAGAGGAGCTATGAATTTTCAGGGAGACAGAAGAGCACAAAAATACCTGCATCAAATTCAAACTCGGCTCCATCGGCACTTGTGTCACTCTGAAGACCCCCTCCATTGTCTAATCCAAGCCCATCCTCATGCTCATGGTAGGCATTTGTCTGTAATTTAACTGGCTGAGCTGGTCTGTGCAAACTGACTCCTTTAAAGGCTGGGGTCACCACAATGAACTTCATCCATTGCCTTGCTAAGGCAACAAGACCTTTCTTTAAGGTTACTAAAGCAGGAAGACCATCACTCTTAAAAGAAAGAAAAACAAAAATTAAAAATGCATATCACAACATTTTAAAGCAAACTGGGGAAAAAAGTCATAAGTCCCTTAAAACTTTGTGCTCAAGAGGCTTATGACGGAAGCATGCCTGCACCACACAACGTCCCTTCAGATATAAGAAGCCATAGATAAAAAGAAGCTAACAGATAAAAATTATAGCTTCATTGAACACACTAAATACACTCCTTTACATGACCTGAGGATCTAGCCCAAGGGGCCAAAAAATCAACCGGAAACAGGTTTCTTAATACGAAACTAGAAGTACTTAGATAATTCCAAGGCTCTGAACTATGGACTAAAATTCACAACAGCAGTAGATTGACTGTAGAAACAGAACTGAAATTAAAAAGAGGGTGTTTTTTCATTGTTGGTAAGCAGTACTTTACAAACACAAATTTGAGGCAAAA